ATTTTTATTTATTAGATTTGTGTGCTGCCCATCACATTTTGAGGCAACTCTGGGTGGCTTACAAATTAGTAATCATTAAAATGATAAAACAAAAAATAATAACAAGAATAATAATTTACAATTAAAAATGGAGAGGATGGAGAAGTTTACAATTTACTTTTATTTACAATTAAAAGATGGGGACAAGTTACCATGGGAAACCTGAAATGAGTGGCTGAGTCTAGTGGTTAGGTATTTTTCTTGAGCTTTGGTCCAGTTTTAGTTGCTTTGTCTGAAATACTGTTTTGGATTTGTTTGCCGCCCAGTTTCTTGGATAGAGGGGCCATATAAATTGGATGAATGAATGAATGAATAAATAAATGCTTGAATAATGGGCATCCATGTTGGTGACATTCTTGTGACAAAATTTTCACAATGCAACAAGCGGTTCCTTTAGGTGCTAGAGGGAATAATTATGACTTCGAATTATAAAGAAGAGTGAAAACAGATGTAACTTCAAAGTTGGTGTGGAAATATTCTAATCAGTTTCTTTCAACTACCACAAACGAGAAATTCAAATTCATTTTACCACATTTAAAAGTGTTCTTGTCTGCATCAACCCTGCTCTACTGTGAAATTTCTGTTCTATTATGTGGATGAGGTATTTTAGCTTAGGCCCAGCCAAGCGTTTAATTTTTTAAAACCATCCTATTTAGATTTTTTTCAAAGATGTTTTGTGATTAAAAAAAAAATTGAAGGAAAGCCAGTTTAATTACTTGGAAAGGAAGGAGTGGAGATGTAAATTAAACAAATATCTGGGAAGATGTAGACTCTATAAACCAGAAGACTTCATGCTTTGAGGCTATAAATATATGTGTATAAAAGAGTTTCATGTGTAACTTCCCCATTGAAATGTACAGGTGGAAGCAATAAAAAAAGAAACACTTTTTCTGTGTAAACCTTCAAAGTGATATTCATGTTCTGCCACCTTTATTATCTTTACTTTTCATTTTCTTAATGTGGTTCTGCAAAATGAGATTTCTTGTACCCATGCTGTCTGATCGTACTCATGGTAACCGAACTGGTGTCTATGGAAATTCTCAGTCATCCCGGTCACGGTTGTCCCAAAGGTGCTTTTTCAAGAAGCAACTGGACTTCCTTGTTTCTCTTCTCATCCAAGAAGCTTCTTTAGCTCTGAAGAGATGAGAAGCGAAAAGCCTTCAAAGAAAAAACAGAAAGTCCAGTTGTCTCTTGAAAAATGACCTTTGGGGCAGGGGTGGGCTTCAAAAATTTTAGCAAGGGGTTCTCTGCCTGGTTGCTGGGTGGGTGTGGCCATGGTGGGCGTGGTCAGCCTCCTGCACCATGGTGGTGGTGGGGATTTTGCCTCCTAGGTCTCCGGAGGCTTTTTACGAGCCTCCAGGAGGGTGAAAACGACCTCCCCAGGCTCCGGAGGCCCTCTGGAGGCCGGAAACAGGCCTGTTTCCAGCCTTTCCGAACTTCTGGTAGGCCCATTTTTCCCTGAGCCTCCACGTGTGCCCTGTACTTACCTGCATCCAAAATGGGCCGCGGGAGTCTCCTGGGAGGGGTGGGGCGGGGTGGGCGGGGCCAGCCAGGAATGGGATTTGGAGGTTCTCCAAACTGCACAGAACCTTAGCTAGAGGTTCTCCCAAATCCCTGCAAACCCCCAGCAGCCCACCCCTGCTTTGGGGTCCCTTCTAACTCTGTTATTCTTGATATACTAACATTAATTTCTTTGAACTTTTAAGACAGTGTGCTCTTCTACGTGTACCTAAGAGCTCACTCTTAAAAGGTTAGCAGAAGCAAGTGAAGTGACTTTCACTCCATACAGGTGTAGAATCTTGTAGATCTCTTTCCTCCAAGTTTAGTAGAAATAAATGGGTAGCATTTAATGGGAAGATTAGATGACTGACCCAGAAGGACCAAGTCTTCAAAGAAAAACAAGGAAGTCCAGTTTCCTCTTGAAAAAGCACCTTTGGAATAACCAAACTGGTCTTCCCGAGCAGCCATCCTGAACACTGTCACCCAGTTGTGGATCTCAAATAGAGGAGTGGGGGACTTGGAGCAGTTGTGCCCTGGAAAGCTTGGATTAGTGATCACTAAGCTCACTTCCAGAAACTCTGATTCTACAATATGTTGTTGTTAGCTGAGAAGTTGTGTCTGATCCATTGCGACCCCATGGAAAATGTTCCTCCAGGCCTTCCTGTCCTCTACCATCCTCCGGAGTCCATTTAAGCTCACGCCGACTGCTTCAGTGACTCCATCCAGCCACTTTATTTTCTGCCATCCCCTTCTTCTTTTGCCCTCAATCATTCCCAGTGTTGGAAGAAATGTCCTTCTGGGTTCAGTTCCAAGTGGGGAGAAAGACACTGGAAACATGGTAGCTGCTTGGAAAGATGGTTTTAATGGTGGACAGGATCACATGCCTTGAAGATCTTGGGTGAAGAAAAAATGGGCAGAGATGCTGAGAGTGCCTGAGTTTTATACCCTCTCTGGGCTTTTGAATTTGAGCTTGTGTTCTGATTGGTTATCAGACGCACATGGAGCCATGCAGGGGTAACTTTGTAGGTTGTGTTTTTGAGTCCCAAGCTTGGTTGAGCCTTGCTGGGTTATGATGTAATGAAAGGGCGTTGGGCAATTCCGATCATGGCTCTGCCTGAAGTAGGTAGATCTTTGTCAGTGGTGGGTTTCAAAAATTACTACCGGTTCTGTGGGTGTGGCTTGGTGGGCATGGCATGGCTTGGTGGGCTTGGTGGTTTGGTGGATGTGGCAGGGGAAGGATACTGTAAAATTTCCATTCCCTCCCCACTCCAGGGGAAGGTTACTGCAAAATCTCCATTTCCTCCCAATCAGCTAGGACTTGGGAAGCAGAGAATAGATGGGGGCCAGTCAGCATTTTTACTACTGGTTCTCCGAATTACTCAAAATTTCCGCTACCGGTTCTCTAGAACTAGTCAGAAGCTGCTGAAACCCACTTCTGATCTTTGTTATGTAGAATAGACTGACCCAGGCCTTAATGGCCCATTGACAAAGGTGGGAGGGGGTGGGACTGAGTTTCTGCCTCCCTTTTAGGGGAACTATTCTGCCCTTTTAATATCTCCTAAAATATCTCATTTTTCTAGGAGAGGGGTGGCTGCTGACTTCCTACACCAGCATTAGGCTCTTCTCCAGTGAATCCTTCCTTCTCATTAAGTGGCCAATCTACAATATAATGTATTGTATATTGGAGGTGGGGTGACCCTTTGAGAGCTGTATGCAACGAGATTAGATTAGATTAGATTAGATTAGGTTAGATTAGAATACAGTAGAGTAGAGTAGAGAGTAGAGTAATAGAGTAGAGTAGAATAGAATAGAATAGAATAGAATAGAATAGAATAGAATAGAATAGAATAGAATAGAATAGAATTCTTTATTGGCCAAGTGTGATTGGACACACAAGGAATTTGTCTTTGGTGCATACGATCTCAGTGTACATAAAAAGACAAGATACATTCGTTAAGAACCATAAGGTACAACACTTAATGATAGTCCTAGGGTACAAATAAGCAATCAAATCATACTAGGAAACAATTCATTTTAACGCATGCCGATTAGTCTGCATTCAAAGCGACAATAAAGTGATTCTCAAATTCTAAGGATTCCAAACACATTTTTCTAGGAGAGGGGTGGCTGCTGACTTCCTACACCAGCATTAGGCTCTTCTCCAATGACTCCTTCCTTCTCATTAAGTGGCCAATCTACAATATAATGTAGTGTATATTGGAGGTGGTGGTGACCCTTTGAGAGCTGTATGCAACGAGATTAGATTAGATTAGATTAGATTAGATTAGAGTAGATTAGAGTAGAGTAGAGTAGAGTAGAGTAGAGTAGATTAGATTAGAGTAGAGTAGATTAGATTAGATTAGAATAGAATAGGTAGGGTAGAATAGGGTAGAATAGAATAGAATAGAATAGAATAGAATAGAATAGAATTCTTTATTGGAGTGTGATTGGACAATAGGAATTGTCTTTGGTGCATAGATCTCTGTGTACATAAAAAGACAAGTAAATTGTTAAGAATCATAAGGTACAACACTTAATGATAGTCTTTGGTGCATAGCAATCAAATCATACTAGGAAACAATTCATTTTAAGCATGCCGATTAGTCTGCCTTCAAAGCGACAATAAAGTGATTCTCAAATTCTAAGGATTCCAAACACATTTTTCTAGGAGAGGGGTGGCTGCTGACTTCCTACACCAGCATTAGGCTCTTCTCCAATGACTCCTTCCTTCTCATTAAGTGGCCAATCTACAATATAATGTAGTGTATATTGGAGGTGGCGGGTGACCCTTTGAGAGCTGTATGCAACGAGATAGTAGATTAGATTAGATTAGATTAGATTAGAATTAGTAGAGTAGAGTAGAGTAGAGTAGAGTAGAGTAGAGTAGAGTAGAGTTAGAATAGAATAGAATAGAATAGAATAGAATAGAATAGAATAGAATAGAATAGAATAGAATAGAATTCTTTATTGGCCAAGTGTGATTGGACACACAAGGAATTTGTCTTTGGCTGCATACGCTCTCAGTGTACATGAAAAGACAAGATAATTCGTTAAAATCATTAAGGTACAAGACTTAATGATAGTCCTAGGGTACAAATAAGCAATCAAATCATACTAGGAAACAATTCCTTTTAACACATGCCGATTAGTCTGCCTTCAAAGCGACAATAAAGTGATTCTCAAATTCTGAGGAATAAGGATTCACTCGGGACTCACTCAACCAAGCCTAGCCCAGACTTCCCAGTCCCGGCCTTCATCTGAAGCGCTTCCTTTCCGACACGACACGAGACCTGCGGACCTCCGACACTCAGGCCGTCGTTTCCAGCCGCCGCAGCCCAGCTTTCCAGCCCGAGCAGGGCGCGCCCATCCCTCCTCCCGAGAGCTGCTGTTGCCGCGCTCGGCCACGCAGGCCCGGCTGGCGCAGGCGAGCCGCCGCCGCCGCCGCCAGCGTCGCCGCCTCTGGGCTGGCTGGCAGGGAGAGCCGCAGGTGGCGGCGGGCGGGCGGCGATGGCGGCGCGGGGAGACTCGGAGCAGGTTCGCTACTGCGCGCGCTTCCCTTACCTCTGCCTCAAGTTCACGCTCGTCACTTACTCCACCGTCTTTTGGGTGAGTTGCGAGAAGCGGCGGCTGCCATAGACGCCCCCGGGGAGTTGGGAGCCGGGACCGGCTGGGGAAGGGCGGAAAGCGGACGGAGCCGGAACGGGGGGGGGGCATTCGCCTCGCTGCCCCCGAACTGCGCGAGGGATGCTCGGGGAGTGGTGGGGGGAAAAGGCGCCGCTTCCCAAAACCCGGGAGGGCCACACCAAACACACACACAGACAGGTGGTTGTTTCGGAGAGGCGGAGACTTTTCCTGAGGGAAATTCCGCGCCTGGCGCGGGTGAAACTAGGCTGGAAGGCTGCGGGAGTTTGTGCCGGCGGAGGAGTCGGTCGGAGTTTCCGCGCACTTTGGAGAGCTGGTGCGCGGAGGGGAGGCCGAGCGTGGCTCGGTCTCCGTTGGAAATCCGCGGTCTGAGGCGGCCTCGCCCGGTCGTGGGGGGTTGAAAGCGCAACAACGTCGTCCCTGCAAATAGAGGAGACGGCCGGCCGTTCAGTTGTGAGGCGCAAAGCGAGTGTGCGGCTCGGCTCGTTTGGGGCACTTCACGAGGAGACTTTTATTTATTTATTTATTTATTATTTATTTATTTTATTAATTAAATTTATATACCGCCCTATTCCTAAGGGACTCAGGGCGGTGAACAGCGAACGATAAAAATACATGTAATACAAACGTTAATAATAAAAAAGCCAATTAAAATATACTAAACATTCTGGTCCTAGATAATTCAAGACATCCCAGTTTAAAATAAAATCAAAAAGCAATATAAAGGGAAACTTTAACGGCATGCTGGCCCTTGTCAGGAGCCCCGTTATTTGTTTTTTTTCCCCCAAAGGGAATTAATTCCTTTTGGTTTCTTCTACTGCTTTGCTTTCGAATTTCTATTTAATTTACTCTCCGTCGTGTGTTCTAAGTACTTTTTAGTTTCATCTTTAGACACACACACACACACCCGCCGCCCCGGTTGTATTTGCATTGTGTTGGTTAATGAAGATGGATTCTGAGTTGAATTTCTCAGCGAAATGTTTCTAAACAGCACCAAAATGTTGCTGCATTCTCTGTCATTTAATTGACTTAAATACTGTAGTTGAAAATAACTACAGTATTTAAGTCAATTAAATGACAGCGCGGCAACGTTTTGGTGCTGATTAGAAACATTTCCCTGAGAAATTCAACTCAGAATCCATCAAATTTGAATCCATCAAATACAGGAACAAGTTATCAATCAGATTTTACTCTCAGGGAGAAACGAGGAGCATAAATATCCTACTTGGGGCTAAAGGACGACTCATTTTTTTAAAAAAATGTGTTTATTTAAAAGACCTACAGCTTTTATGTTTTGTATAATAAAATCTTGAGGCGGTATGTCTTTCAAATGGCTAATTTAAAAAGAGGGATTATTGTTTTAAAAAATTAAGTAAATCAAATTAGGCATACTTTTAAAAGAATATTAAAAGAATAAAAGAATAAATTATTAATTTGTAGTGTATATTATGATAAATAATAAAAATATAGTATCTATATCTAATTTTATCTATCTATCTGTCTGTCTGTCTGTCTGTCTGTCTGTCTGTCTGTATATTCTCTAGCATGCTTCAAGCTAGCATGCTTCAAGATAGGTGGACTTCAACTCCCAGAATCCCCCAGCCCGCATGATTTAAGATGGGTGGGCTTCAACTCCCAGAATCCCCCAGCCTGCATGATTTAAGATGGGTGGGCTTCAACTCCCAGAATCCCCCAGCCTGCATGATTTAAGATGGGTGGGCTTCAACTCCCAGAATCCCCCACCCTGCATGATTTAAGATGAGTGGGCTTCAACTCCCAGAATCCCCCACCCTGCATGATTTAAGATGAGTGGGCTTCAACTCCCAGAATCCCCCAGCCCGCATGATTTAAGATGGTTGGGCTTCAACTCCCAGAATCCCCCAGCCCGCATGATTTAAGATGGGTGGGCTTCAACTCCCAGAATCAGCCAGCCAGCAGGCTTTAAAAGGGGTGGACAACTCATATACACATATGTATGTATGTATGTATGTATGTATGTATGTATGTATGTATAAATAAATAAAATATGTCTTTTGGGGAATGTATCTTGAGAAGCAGGTCATAGCAGTGGGCAACAAGGGTCTTTGCTCAATGCCAGTTGCTCCCATTCCTGGATGGAGAGTTTCTGCTTGCTGTCACTCATTAGTAATCCATCATTTGGATAACTGAATTGTGTTCTACATGAAGCTGCCCTTGAAAAGCCTCTGGAAGCTTCAGTTGGTACAGAATGCAGCAAGTGGATGCATCTTTGTCCATCTGTGTAGGACCAGTGCTTAGTGATCTTAGTAAGCTTCCGGGTACAATTCAAAGTGCTGGTTGTCATCTATAAAACTCTACATGGAATAAGACTAGGTCATTTGTGGGATCCGCTCTCTTCAGTGGCATCTGCCTGTCCCACATGGATGAGCAAGTTTGGGGTAACTTCCCTGGAGCAAGATCATCTGGCAGGACCCAGGAGGTCAGCCTTTTCCTTTACTCCACCTAGTTTCTGAAATGATCTCCCCCCACTTCCCTGATATATGGTTTGCCCTGATCCCATTGGCCTTTAGAAAGGGGAAAAACTATAGTTCTCTCCCAGGAATTGGGGCAAGTTCATTGGGGTTCCCACTTGGAGGGATGTAACAGAAATTTGATATCTGGTTGCTTATTATTATTATTAGTTTTCTTTTGTTTTCTTTCCCAGAGTCACAATCTTTCAAGTTGGGCAACTACATCAATTTCAAAGATATATAAATTGGGAGGCAAATGTAAAATGTGGAACAATTAGTCATGTAGATCCTTTGATGTTTACACTACATCATAAAATATATTATTACTTTGTTTGGATTTAGTACTCATTTTTTCCCCTCTCCTATTTTATTTTCCTTGAGCTGAATATAGATAAATTTTTGGGGGAACGATTCGTGGACTAGTACTGATTTAAAACTCTTTGCGCATTGCTGATGTCATTGAAACAAACAAGTAAACAAATAGTTATGAATATTCATGAATAAAATCTATTGTTGATAAGACGTGTTATTGTGATTGTAGAAACTCCAGGCTCTTGTGTGATGAGGAATACAGTTCAAATATCATTACTTTCACATTCTTTTTCCTCTGTGTAATGCCATACTTTCCAATATAGTTGCAATTTACAGCTGTTTAGAGGCTTTTTGCATGTTGCACAATTGTAATGAAATTATTGTGAATTGTTGATTAATTAACCATCAAATACAGATAATATTAGCTGTCATGAGTAGATATTATTAAAACATAGCTGACAGTGGATTGATTGTTTTTGGCTCTCTCTATATATATCGTTGTGATTTATGAAGTAGTTAATGAAACTAAGCTACGTCTGCTTCTTATGTTGATCAGTCAACACTGACTCCTGAGGATTACAGAGATTAGTCCATGCATTTTTTTTGACATTTTCAGAAGCAATTCTTGCACATTCTTCCTCGGGCTGAAAGAGTGACTGACCCAGATGAAGGATTAGAACTCACAGTTTTCCCAGCTTGTAAAACTGCAATTTAACACCCCTTTTCTTTTTAGAGCAGTTTTTTCTCAAATGCTTTGCTCTCAGGATGCTTTCCCGTTTTTAAAAATTACGGAGGACTCCAAAAGAGCTTTTATTTGGATAAGTTATGTTTATTGATATTTACTATATTAAAATTAAAAATGGAGCTTTCATAGAAATTTACTGACTCATGAAAAATTACAATATTTTTCATGAAAAAAAATATTTTTAATAAATAAAAAATAATGTGGAGTTACATTGTTATAAATTTTTGCCAAATCTTCAATAGCTGGCAAATAATTTTGACTTCATGGACCCCTCAGAGGATTTTGAAAGATTCCTAGGTCTCCTCTGACAACTCTTTAAGAAACACTGCTTTAGAGTAAGATCCTAATGCTTGTTTGTAAAAAGTAAACCTATTAATTTTTTTAAAGCCAGGTCTGATGTTGTGTCCATCTCCTGTTTAGTAAACTAATATTAAACTAAATTTTCTGATGAATCAGGGAAATGTTCTTTCTGTAGTCAATCAAGTTTGTGGTAGGAAAAATATTTGTTTATGAATATATCCTTCATTTGAAGATTTAAATATCAGAATTATAAAGCTGGGACTATTGTATATGAACTCATTCCATATTCACATCAATACAGAATTTTAAAAGGCGCTTTAATTGAAAGAAAAACTCCTGACCATATGAAACATAAACATTTTAAATGCATTTTTAAGAAATACACTTCACTATACCTTTTCAAACACTATTCTTGATACTAGCGAAAGTATATTAATTGACAAAGGAAGTGCCTTGAAGGGCTATAAATAGGATTTTATACTGTACTCTAACAATGTTTAGTTGCTTTATGCCTCTTCACAGAATCATGATTTTTTTAAATAATAAAGAATGTTCATTTTCAGGGAGATTACTTATTTTTATACCTAAACAATCATAATAGTTTATTAAGCTTGTAGGCTGCCCAATTCTTAACGACAACTGGGTAGAATACAAGAAACATACAAGAAATACATTACTTTTGTTCTTCAAAAAAATAATAATAAGTTGAATAGCTAAAGTAGTCTTAAAAAGGCATGTTGGTTGTGGAAATTCTGGAATTCTAGAATAAATTAATTAGAAAACATTTCAATACCATTGGGAATTGTTATTCATGGTTTACCTAATGAAAATACATCCACTGTTCTGTATTCAACATATGAGCAGCATGAAAAATTATTTGAAGTTTATATATGACTGTACTTTCCTCTCCAAATAAGGAAGTTAAAAGCCTTCATCTCTTCCCTTTACAATACCAGTTTGAATCAGATCCCTTTCTCTATTGAAAACAAAAACAAAATTTATAGCAAGTCCTGAAAGCAGCATATGTGATTAACTCTGAATTAATGTGGAAACATGCCTGATAACACCCTGGCATTATTTCTTGATATCTTGAATTGTTTTAGAGTCTTTAATCTCTT